TTGCTTTTGTTTCCTGTACCCGGCCGGACTAAAAGGAAGTGAACACTCAGTGTTCACTTCCTGTTAGTCCGTCCGGGTACAGGAGACAGATGCTCCCTGTACCCGCAGACCATACAGGGCTCGGCCACGCTACAATAGAGGTAGGGAGGGTGGGGGGGATAAATGGACAGGGAGGGGCTCCTGTCAGCCCCTCTCCTCATGCTGCGCCCGGGCGGTGCGCACTCATGGACGCACCAGCCCGGGCAAAGCTGCAGCCGCCTGAGGCGCTCTACAGAGCACTCGGGCGGCTGCAGCATTAGGGGGGCCGGCGCTCCTGGCGGCGCCCCTTCCCAAGGGGCGCCCTAGGCGGCTGCCTAGTCCGCCTTACAGGTAGCGCCGGCCCTGTCTATATATACCAAGTAAGACCTTGGGAAAAGTCTGCAATGGCCACAATAATTCCAAAATATACCCCAAAACTTCCCAGTTCAATACACAAATAAGCTTTTTAAACCAAAGCACATGTTGTGATAAAAAAATGTTCAAACAACAACCAGGACTGTGCAGTTTCAACTTTTAGGTCTGTATGGTGCTGGTTCTGGAGTAGAAACTGAAGTTTTTCTGTCAGCATCAAGCTAAGAACTAAATAAGCTGTTCTGAGACCATTTGTTATATATATATATTGTTTTTGAGGTCTAAATGCATATAATACCCTTTAACTCTTCTCACTATTTCCAGACAGAGAGTTTAACGTTCTTGTTGTTCTGGTGCCCGAGGCAAACTATTACTATAAGAATATTATGGAAAATGTATTTACTGGTAAAATCATGAACATATGAGTGCTAGCCTATCACACTCTCAACATTGATTTTATCTATCTCTATATGACTTTACTGTGGTGGGATAGAATGGAATGTATTGGCAGGGATTTTATATAAAGAAAGACAACATGTTATTTACTAGTAACTCATTAGAGACTCCATGACTCCCAACCGTCCCAATATTAGCTGGACAGTTACAATTTGCAGATCCTGTCCCACCTTACTTACCTGTTGTTCCACTTTTGGGGACACCAGGGAACTGTCCCCTACAATCATTGCAAGAGTGCATCATAAGAAGCGCTTGTGCTATATTCAGAGCACTAGGACCCTGCATTGTGCACTAAAGTAGTGCTTCCAGCATGTCCTGCAATTAGTGGGCTAGCTAAAATCATTGGCTGGCAGACTTATGTGTTTTTCATACTAGGCTGGCCTACCATTAACTTGGGCGGACTCAGCCCCTTTCAGGTTGAGTCTTCCCCTTAGGGGCACAGCTAGAGATGCAA